GGGAAACCCCACCCGCTTTGCTCTCCAAAACCTAACTGCTCTCCAGGAAAGAGTTTCTAAAAAGGTGTAAGCAGAGGGGAGGTTGCAGCTGCTAGCAGCAACTAACCGCCCTCTAAGGTGTCCCGAAAGTGAAAGGCTCTCGTTGACCGAGAATGGATTTGGGCAGGGAGTGGGAGTGTCAGCGGCAATATGGGCCCGGACAACGCTCTGAGGAGCGGCTGAGTGACTTTGCAGGGTCCTGAGGACGGAGGGGCGGTGAAGTCAGCGGGCTCTGGGATGAGGCTGCCTGGAGGGCAGAACCGAAGCTTGGGGCTGCTCTGGGAGGAACACCCCATCCGCTCCCGGGATGGAGACCTCCCTCTCCAAATACTGGCCGTCTCCCCTCCTTCCCTCCCCCTTCCCTTCTTTTCTTTCCAAAAGGGCAGCATTTGAAGTCACCCCCACCCCCCAACCGTGGAGCAGGGCAACAGCAGTGAGTCACTCCTTCACTAAGCTAAGTCACAAGGGAGTGATAGACTCTGGTGACATCTGGCTACAGTTACAGTCACCCGTTCTTTAGAGTTGGAGAAGTTACATTCTAGTCCACACTCAAGCAGCAGTGTACTTCGGAGGAGTTCTGTACAAGGATATACAAACTCTGTATGAAACTTTTGTGCCTTTTTGCTGGGAACCAAGAGAAAGGGTTTGCAGGCACAGAGTGGCTGCTGCTGCTCTGTCTTTTTGGACAGACGTTGGGTGAAGAACCAGGACGCCTGGAGAGAGGCCCCTGGGCTCCAGTCCAGTTCAAGCTTGCAGAGCAAACCCAGTGCACTGTCTTGATTAGGGGACAGGAGAGAGGGAGTTGAGGAGAGGAGTGGGCTAACGGACAGGAGATGGCACAGTTTTAAGCATTAGTAAGACATAGCAACCTCCTTGGAGAAGATTGCTGTTAGTCTTGTTGGTGTCAAGTTTGGAAAAATCTCAGTTGTCCTGCACTGTTTGGCCCTACAGAGATCCTGGCTTCTGCCAGGTGCCAGTTTCAGCTGCTGCTGCTGTGGCCCTGCTGCCCCGGGGGCAGCCTCGGATGCCATCAGGTGTCCTGGGTGCAACTTCTGCCACTCCCCCTCACACCCACCCTAACTCCAGAATTATTGCTTTCCACCACCAGTCATCCTGCAGCAGAGTCCCAGATCCCAGTGCTCCTCATGGAGAATGGCCTCCAGGTATCTGTGAAGCAGGCACCTGGGTTGGTCCTTACCTGATACAAGTGCAAACTGGATTTCCCTCGGAAACATTGACCCACCTCTTGTAGGCCCCAGGGGCTCTCTCCTGTGCTGTTCTGGGCAGGGACCCTGATCTCCACCCAGTTCTGGGGACCTCTCTTGGGCTGGCTGGAAAGGCCAAGGTACAAACCGGACACCTCCCCTGCCTGAGACTGCAGTAGCAGCTTCTATGGAAGCTGGATTTTCCCATCTTTGAAAAGAAGCTTAGCCATACTGTCTCTGCTAGGACTGCTCTAAGTGACAGATGCTACATGTTCGATAGGCTGTCATCATATATGTAACTATTCCTAGCTCATATTAATCAATTAAAACACTTTATGTATTTGAAACTGCACTAGACTTAGGGGTGGTAGGGAGAAATGGCACTAATATTGTGTCAGAGGAAGGTACACTTGAGTTAAAGAGGCAAAATTAGTAAGTAAGTGATAGTAAATGACCCAAGACAGAATGGAATTTAGCAGTAAGTGGTACAGACTCTAAGTGCTTTCAGAGGTGAAAGGAAAGATGGGGAGAGATGTTAACACTTAGAATTCATCATCTAGATTTGTTTCCATCCCTTAGTGGCCTCCGTGAAAGGTGGGCGTTGGGCCTGT